AACAACAGGCGACAAAAACCGAGGCAAACGAAGACGCCGCGCACGGCATTGCCCAGCGCAGCGCGATATCAATGACAGCGTTGAGGAAATGCAATCCAAATGGCAGGACGCCCAGCTGGCAGGATAGCAATAGCAAAAGCAGCAGCAGCAACAGCAACAGCAACAGCAGCAAACGCAACAGCAACAGCAGCAGCAACAGCAGCCTTACGCATATTAACAGGCTTGCATTTTTCGCAGCTCGAGCTATTCCGGCGCCAAAATGCAATGCAAAACGTTAAACGAAAACCGCACGCACTTCATTTCCACGTGCAATGGCAGTGCAAATGTGTCGGGGCAATACAATGCCAGTCAAAGTTTTTGCCACATCTACCTCAACAGCTAACATGCAGCACAGGCTAACCTACGTCCTGACTACCCTCGTACCAGCTCCCCTTCAGACTGTGCACTGCTGCTACAGCGACAAAACAAAAAGCAGTTTGGCCAAATGGGAAAATTGCAAGGAATTTTAAGTGAAATTCCATGACATTTTAATGGGGTTGCGATTGGGCACACACTCAAACGCAGGCGCCAAATGTTTTGTGCAACGCGGACTGGCATTGCAATGGGCAGGGATGTGGTGGGTTGCAGGGCAGGGCATGACTGCCACATGACAGCGCCTGATCCTCTTTATCTGGCCAAAGGTAGCTTCAACGCTTTCAATTTATATCGCCACGTAGCAAAAAACCAGGTTATGTGCATGTAAAAAAAAAAATATAGCCGAAGCAAAGCGAATGAATTTAGAGCTTTGCCTTCTATTTATTCAATTCACAAATATCAAGTACTTGGCAAGCTTTTTATATATATGTATGTATGTAGAGGGCACAGCTCAGCAAGCAACCCAAAACTTACAACCAATTTTCCATTGGAAGCGCATAAATATGAGCAAGCTTTGTGTGTGGTAGTAAGCGGCATAACAAACAGCTCTTTATGGAGCTAGCTCCATTTGTGAGGGGTTAAGAAAAGGTTACAATGGGTAAAGCAACATAAGGCTATATACTCTCAATCAAGAATGCGCCAACCTCGAAAACGACAAGCGCTAAAGAGCAGAGGAATTTAAAATAAATAATCTCGATAAATATCGATTTCGAAAAAAAAGTCTTGTCAAACAAAACTCGAAGATTATAAGAGCTAGGCACATAAAATTTGGCATATAGATTCTTGTTTATATATTCAGATGCAGAGCAGAAACTCTCGGAACGTAAACTTCTCCTAGGCGGACACACCGCTTGGGCGGACATTTGCTCCCATCAGCTCTCTATTAGGCGGACAGAAATTGGACGGATCTTCAGCGGACGGCGGCAGAACACAGTTTTCCATGTAATAAGGTCTTAGGTCTTGAAGTTTTAAAAAATGCAAAAATTTCATTGACAAAGCTTAAAGATTGTTTTCTTTTTCAAAGCTGGCCACACTTAAGTGTCATTGGTGATTGTCAGCATGGCACGTGATATCAATGCAGCGGAAGTGTTTTCAGTTGGCTCTGGGGCGGTTGTCAGGCATCCAAAAATAGTCACGTATATGTAACGAATCTATGCTTAGAGATCAATAATCGCTCCCAGCAGGGCCCCCGTTCCAGGTATGCCCCGCCAGATTGAAAAATGTTGCAAGCCAAAGTCATAAAAAGGTGGCGTTTAGAAGAGGGGCGAGTACTGAGGGCTGCTCCCCCACACCAAATGACAAACAGACGCAGCAAATAAATAACAAGAATCAGGGCATGGGCGTGTGAGAAGGGGTGGGGGGAGAGGGAGGAGATGGGGGAGTCTTAGCTTACCACTTAAGTCGCTGGCATTTGCAGCCCTGCGGGCGACAAATTAACACACACACGCAGACAGCCAGGGGGAGGAACAGGAAGCGCCTGCTTGCAGAGCTAAGCAGATGAGCACTCGATCTATTTTCAGAGCAGACACGCACACATTTTGGGGTACAATAGGGAGCATCCGAGAGGGGCCAGAGACAAGGTTGAGCGATCAGTTGCACGCCAGCCCCTCGCCAAAGAGCTCACCATGTCGCACCTTTATTAATTGCAGCCGACGTTGATGCAGACACGCCCAGACGAGCGTTTGACATGTTTAATGCGAAAAAATAAAAATGGAAAAATCATCGCAGACCCCACTCTGCCATTTGGGGGCGAGAACTCTATTTTGGTAGAGCACAGCCATGGCGCGACGTTGACATAGGCTGGAAATTCTTTTCAACTGCATCTACTTTGGTTGCCCTAGCAACAGATGCCATTCCATAAATATTCGGATGCAGTCGCCGAAAGCCACCAGACAGCAGACAGCAGACAGCAGGCGGCAGACAGTAGACAGTAGACAGCTGACACCACACAGGCCACAAGTCCAAAGTCTGAGCGAAAAATGCAAATGCAAGCAAATAATCTACCATGCATATATAGCATCTATATATCTACCATATGCATGCCCATGTCTGCGCCTTTGTCTGGGTAATTGTTGTTGGCTGTCAGATCAAAATAAAACATTCCATTGCCGCGACTTGGCTGCATTAGCCACATCCAGACAGAAAGAATCGTATATAGCGAAGCTACATACTCTAAGCGTATTTGATGCTCTAGAGATTTCATTTATTTACCACGTGAAGATCGAATTTGGTATGGCGATCTTTAGGTAAAAGTCGTTTTTGGTACATTTTCATATATAGAGAAAAAACTTTGAGGCAATATATATACTTTATGTGTTCGGAGATTTCTTTTTCGATGCCTTACACATTTCAAGACAAAATTATAAACCCTTCTACAGGGGTAGAAACTTACGATTGGCCAGTATTTAGGCAAAGTAAATATAAATATGAAATCAAGGCTTTATCTTATCGTGGGACACCTGATTAGCCAGCTAGCTGAGAGCGAGTCGGCGAGTACTTCACATACAAGTAATCAGTTCGGAGTTGTGGCATCTGTGTGCGGCAGATGCAGCTGCCACTTGTGCCAATTGCAATTGAAATGACAAATGCTTTATTTTGTGACAATGTTGGGCTCGCCCACCTAGGCGAGCCTGGCAGAGGCCATAATTTAGCGCAAGCTTATGGGCGAGACCAAAACATCCAAAACATGAAAATCAAATTTCCAGGATACTTGGTAACTGTTTCAACTTGAGGCAAAGGACAAAAAAAAAAAAAGAAGACCCAAACACTTTTTGGCAATTAGTGCAGTGCATCCTGGGTCCTGTGCCCCATGTCCTTTTGCCATCCTCGTCATCCTCGTCGTGGTCGTTGTCATTGCCGTTGCCGTTGATGGATGCGGATGCACTTGAGGGCGTGCCCGACCCGACTCGACTCGACTCGTCCAGCCCGGCCAACGTCCACTTGAGCTGGCATCTAATTTAATGGGCGCCAAAAATGAAGGCCACTCGCATGTGGTCATCAAATGCGAGTTTTATGTAAATGTCCTGCACTCAAGTGCCAAGCCCAAGCACTTATCCTTTAAGATGCTCGTCAAGTGCCCCTCTTGCGTCGTTTTTTTTTTTCTTTTGCAGTACAAAAACTCAAATGAGTTAAGGGCGCTCGCACTTGACTTTCCTTTACGTATTTTTTTGTACTTTACTTCTATCTTTTTTTCTTGTTTTTTTTTTTTTTTTAATGTCTCGTATTACACAGGCGGTCAGGAAACGCACAAAAGGATAATGACAGGCGCTGGCTGCATTTCGTTACTTACATGTCAAGCGTGCAGATCGCTGAGATTTGTTTTGTTCGTGAGCCAAGTTTCGGGGCATCGATTTCAGTGCTTCATCTTTGTATACCCTGTGGCTGCACCAAATGCATAATGGGGCATTTTAGAGTTATACACAAGCATGTAACAGACATCTGTGTGGCTCTTAAATTAAGACACTCTTGATCAGCACATCGAAGCAAGTGGATCTCATCTTGAAGGCGAGTTAAGCTCAGCGATTATTGGAGCTGGGTTGGCCTAAATTTGTATTTAGGCATATTATACGCATATCAGAATCATATTTCTCGATAATATATAATATATATATAAATAATAAATATATGAAATCAAAAATGATAATTTGATTAATATTGATTGTTTTAAATATAAAATATTATTTAGCAAATCGATAAAATACATATTTTTGATAAGCATCTTGACAATTTGATTGTAATTTGTTATAGGGTATTTGCTAGTCGCACAGCTTGAACTCGATACATTTCCACTAATATTTTTGGTATTTTTTATCTCTATTTGCTTGTTGCCGTAATTTGAGTCGTAACTTTGTGCACGTTGTGCTCTTGTTAGCATCGCTTGGCCTCATTTCGCCTCTTTTTTTTTTTTTTTTTTGTTTTTGCCCTCGAGCCTCGGATTTCCTTTGAATTGGCGCCGGTCTCGGCTCTGGCAGCCAGCGATTATTGTTTATTTGTTTGTTTTGTCAACATTTGGTCGTCATAAGCGAGTTTCATTTTCTGTTTTATTTTTATTTATTTCTATATATTTTTTTTCTTTTTTTTTTTTTTTTTTTTTTTGAAGTTGTCTACGGTTACGCACCGATTTTCCAATGAAAGTTTCCGTTTCTGTTTTTATATGGAAAGTCTTAAAGTGATCTCTCTCGCCATCTCTCACCCTCTGTCTCGCTCGCACTGCCCGCTCGATAGGAAATGCAACTCAATCAAATACGCTTAAGATGCCAAGTTGGCAACTTGTGTGGCTTTTCTCACACATTTTTCACGCTAAACCGTGGACGAGGTGACCCGACGCGTCCAAGTCCGAGTTGGAAAACGGCGACTCCATCGGACGCTCGTTGTGTGTGGCTTTTGCTTTATTGGCTTAGCCCGCCCGCTGGGCGGCCCTTCATTTGTCATGGGCCACATCCGTTGCGCTCTGTGGCTGCCGTTGTTGTTGTTGTTGCGTAATGAATTTGTTTTACCCAAATTGAGTCAAAAGAAAAAACTACCGTGTCTCAGTTTTCATTTCGTTTCATTTTTTTTTAATTTTGTTTTCATTTTTGTTGTTTTTTGATGGCGGCGCTGCATGTGGCGGGCGTCATCATTGAGTTTTCTTTTGATTTTCATTAATGTGAGCCGTGGAAAACCGAAGAGGGCGCGTAATTGATTTGTACCTTAGGCTTTCCAGGTAAACAAATAACATTTTTTGTGTAGAATCGAAAGCCTCGACATTGTACAATGTTGTAAAGACTTCTATGAACTAGTGTAGAGTGTTGGAAAGTATTATTTTAAATGTTGCAAGCCTTACAGGTATACTCAGAAAAAAAACACTGGTCAGTGTATTGGAGACTTTTGTCACAAGGTATTCTCGAAAATCAAAAAATTGTACAGTAATGTGGAGACTAGTATAGACTAGTGAAGAGTATTGGAGATTACAATTTAAGATGTTGAGGAGACTTGTCTAGAAGAGGAAAGCAACCTTTTCAGTGCTGCAGACTTTCCATGTATACTGGAATGCCAGAAAATTAAGCAGTGTTGTAAAGACTTGTTTAAGCTACTAAAGAGTGCTAGAAAGTATCAGATATACTCGAAAATGGAGGGTTATAAAGTTTTGGTAGAGACCTGTGTAGACTAGTGCAGAGTGTTGATAAGTAGTATTAAGAATTTTCAGTTGTGTAAAGTGATGTGGAGCCTTGTGCAGAAGCTTGAAAAGCTTGAGAAAAGTATTAAAATTATTTGTATATTAAATAAAATCTTTTTATTTCAGTAATTATAAACACTCCAGATTTGTGGAGACTTTACTATGTTGAACAATAAGGAGTAGCAGTTAGAAAACTTCTTACCCTAAGTTTCTTATGGAGACAATAAAGCTTTGGAGAAAAACATTTAAAAAGCTGAGATATATGAGCACTAGCATAAAAAGGCGAATGCTTTCGTATTCGAGTTTTGAGTGGAATCGTGTCGAGTTGTGAAAAACTACCAAATGGGTGTGACAGTTAATGACGCCAAGAGTCCACTCATTCAAGTCGCCCTCTCAGTCGGCGCCAGTTTTGACACATTGAAGATCGCCAAATTGATCATAGTTAGCAGCGAACCGATGACATCGCCACCGCCATGAGCAATCGTCATAAGCTGCGCCGTAAAAACGCCCTCAAAAAACAATGAAAAACTAATAAGAAGGCTTATGCTGGCAATGCCGGACCAGAAGATGCCCTGCAAAAACGTATAATATCTAAGTGAAGCTTAGAAAGACAGAGCATGCAAATTTCAAACAGCGCAGCTTATGCAGCTTGAACAGCTTCGTTCTTTATAGTCCGATATTTGTGTTATATTCAAGGCTAACATAGGCCAACCCAAACTGTGTATATACTAAAGTGCACGGCCAGGCCTTCAAAATTCTTATTTATTGTAGAGTATAAACGACTTATCGATTTCTTGAACTATTGTTGTGACAAATTTAATAATATTAAGAGTTACGTCCCAAAATCCAACTGAAGACTATATGTGTATACTTTATATGCTCAGCGAAGACTGTGACATCAATTGTTCACAAAATCATAATGCCCACTTTCAATGGGTACAGGGTATAAATAGAGAGAAACAACAAAAATTAAAAAAACGAGATAGTATTTATATGCTCGGCACACCGAAGTTTTAATACCCTTATGGTTTTGCAGATGTGTAACAATTTATATATACTGCCCGCAACAGAAGGACGGACCAATGAAAAGTTTCAAGATGTAACACGACGCACAGACAACCGGACTTGGCTGTATTAACTCGACTGCTGATGCAGGTTTAGAACATATATAGTTTATGGGGTCGCATATGTTGCCTCCTATGCGTTACACATTTCCTGACCTAGCTACTATACTCTCTGCAAGGGTATACGAAATTGAAAAGAAATATAAAAGAAATTAAAACAAAAAACCCAAATAGCTCGCAACAATCGAGAACTGGTGGGCAGCTAATTTGGAGCGCAGATTTGGTAATTTGCTGTGGGACTGCATTGTATTTTATTACCTTTTTTTTTTTTTTGAGTTCTTTTGCCTTATGTGCAAATTAAGTTTTATTAATTTAATTTTTTAACGAGCTGTGATCGGCTCGAAGATTTATGCGGCATTGTGTCGATCGTAATGCTGATGATGTCGGCGTCGGCTTCGTCGTGCACGTTGGCTGCCCCAAATTTATTGAGACATTTTACTTTTTGGAATTTCTACGGTCGACGTCTGCCAACTATTTAATTCGAATTTCGTTCGTAGAAGGCTTTGTAATGATCTCTGATGAGGTGTTTATGAGCATGGTCAGGCATTTTGCATTAGTCATGCCCATTGTGGCGTCTTCATGGGGGCGTTGACTGTGTCGGTTGTCGAGTAGTCGAGTAGTCGGGTAGTCGGTCTGTTGATTGTCGGTCTGTTGGTCATCTTATGCCGATTGTCGGCATTGCTTTGTTTTCGGTTTGCCCATCTAAGGCAGTCATTAGACACTGGGAAGCCGCTTCGATTTGCCACGCCTGCGGGCAAATGAAATCGAAAACATTCGAAATTCATGCAACCAAGCTCAACCAACTGCCATTTCCTGGCCCTACTTACTGACGACTACGTGCACATTAATGGGTTTTCATTAAGTATATTTCTCGTATTCAAAATATCAAAATTTGGAGCTAACTTATTTTCATTTTGACTCTCTTTGTGAACAAGATTTGGTTGAGCGCTTGATAAAATTTAAACAAGTTTTAGAATAAACTCAATGAAAGAATATTCTTTAAAGAATTTATGTACATATATATATTAACAAATTGTTGACATCTTAGGCTTCAAAATCATACTCTCTATAGATTGGAAAGCTGACAGCTGATTCTGACCCTGGCCTGGAATTGTGGATGTAAAAAGCCGGGTTCCCCTTACAAATATAAAACTAATTACAAGTCTGTAAAATGAAGTATGCACGTATATGTACATATGTACATATTTGAAAACATATTTGTAATATGTATATCAGCAACGGCCTTCAACCTTTGCCAAGTGCAAATGTGAACCACTTAGCGGCTCTCATTGGCACTCTTAAACGTTGCATTGATGGTGCGCAGTGGTGTGGTATGAGGTGGTTTGGTGTGGTGCGTGGTGCGGAAATCAAACAATGCCATTAGGCTAATAATTGCTGCTCGTTATTATTGTAATTGTGGCCGTTGGCCGTCGCCCATTGCCGGGCACACAAAATGTATTAATTAAGCTATTTATCTAAACTAATGCGAGCATTTAGTAGCCAAGACAGCAGCAAATTGCACTCATTAGCCAACTGGGTCTAGCACTAGCATCGACTAAGGCTCCAAGTCTGTCTCTGTTTCTGTTTCTGTCTCCGGCTCTGGCACTGGCTCCCTGTCGCCCCCTCACCCACCACAATTCGATGAGCCAATCGTTTTTCTTCAGCCCTACTCCGATGCGTTGATAGATAATTGTGTTGGATAAGTAGAAGCCGTCGACCGTCGACGGTCGTCCGTCTGTGTAGCTGGTGGCCAGCAGCATCATCTTGGCTGAGTGTGTGCGCCTCTTTGTGTGCTTGTGTGACAGGCCGCTGAGGAATGTTAGAGCCAATTGAAGATATCGTCACTTCAGTGCGATCAGCCTCGACCCAACGGTCAAGTTCTACATCATCATTAAAAGCTTCGCTGGCTTCGGACTGGCAACTGCCACTGAAACTGGGCTTCGGCTTCGGTTTGGGTTTGGGGGAGCAGCAGCAGCAACAGCAGCAGCAGCAGCAGCAGCAGCTTATCGTCTGCCGCATCATTAGCTTGATTATGATTATCAATGAGCACATCGACAATGCCGACGTTCTGCCACATTGATTAAAAAGAGCAACAACAGAACAAAAATACCCACAAAGAGCCTGCTCTGTCGGTTGCTAGTGCTTAAATGACACTTGCTTAAATCTAAACCTGAATACTAGCTTAATTTCCAAATGTAACTTATGAATTTTATAACGGGGCGTGTAATGTTGTGTTGGAAAAAACTGCTAATAGTGCATTGACAAGAACTATCAATTGCAAGTTTTAGCTATATTTTGGTTAAAGAAACATATATAAATCTACATAATCATATATATTATCTACTCCTTCAGGTTTTAAGAAGAATATGATATTAATTTTGAAGTGTTAGAAAAAAACTGAAGATTGTGTGATGACAAAGACTGTCAATAGCGAGAGTTCGTTATATTTTACTTTTCAATTTAGATTAATAACATATAAATAAAATTTTTGCAAAGCTAAGAGGGACTTTAAAAAGTCGGCCTATAACGAATAGTCGTTTATCGTTACATTTTATATTCTCTTGTATATTATTGAATGTTCATGTTAGTTGTTGCAGTGTTGGAAAATACGCTAAATAGTGTATTCGCAAAGACTGCAAATATTCTTTTTATTTTGCTTCCTCTTTAAGAATAATTATGAAGAATAAGAGACTATATCTCAGTTGTAGTGTTGGAAAAACGGTAAAATGTACACACTACAACATAAATCCAACATTTGAGTTAAATTTAAGCTCGTGTCATTTGGAATTGAAAAAGTTATTGCAACCTGTGATTAAAACACTTTTCGACGGATCAGTTGGGGCAATCAAAGTATCTTAAATTGGTTTCAGTGTTGAGATTTGCTTTTACTCCTTTATTTTTTTTTTGTCGATACCTAAGATCTTTTCGATCGATACAAGGCGCGCTGTGAGCTCTGTCAGCGTGACAAATTAGTTAGTGCCGGGATTGTTTTTTTTTTTTTTTGTTTTGTTGTTGTTTTCGAATACACGCTAATGAATATGATTAGCATAATGAGATGTGCGGGGCAACAGGAGAAGATCGATGCAAGCAGCAGGCTGGAGGCTCTGCAGCTGCCAGCTGTTGCTCAGTTTTCTCGTTGACTTTTGTTGTGTTTTTTTTTTTTTTTTCGTTTTTGTTCTTTGTTTTTAATGACGACCCCCTCCCGCAGTCCTGTGCTTACACGTTATCATAACCGTAATAAAAGACCACATATGCTCCGCTGCCAGGTGGCTTGGGGTAGCGCGGGGTGAGGACTGCTGTGCAGGCAGCCGGCGGCGAACATAGCGAAATGAGCTCATATATTAACACGCACTCCCGAAACTCCCCATGTAAGACCCATTCCCCGAGCACCCAACACGTAACCACAACATCATCAAGAGGACACACACCCCAAATCAAACTAAGCATTCCACCCCATCCTCCTAAAGAAAAACAACAACAACCACAACAATAAAAAGCCACAAAAACTGTCACCGGGCGCCATGTTTGACAGATGGACTGGCTCCAGCTCCAGCAGCAGCTCAGCTGGATGGATAACTGAAGTGAATGGAGCTCATCTAATTTCTGATATCTGTTCTCGTTGACGAGTCGACATTGAGCAGCCCGGCATCCTGGCAGCCCGGCATCCGGACATACTCGTTGCCCAGTCTAGATCCCATCTGGTTCCGTTTTTTTTTTTTTTTTTAATCAGATATGGGAGCCATGCTGTTCACATTGACCACAATTGGAATGCAATTCTAATGTGTGTGCCTGGTGAGACATTAAAAACCAACCAACCAAAAAAGAGACAACAATACGGAGTCAACATAATGCAAAAACCAAACTAAAACCGAAGTCCACCCAATGCCCCGCCCGGAGAAAACACAGACCACAAATTTAATGAGCCAAATGGAAAGTGCTCACAATATTGTCAAGTTTATACATGCATACTCTGATTCTTAACCGGAAATGCCTAGCCTGGAGATCCGGCCGACGCCTTGATTTTCTGAACAGGAAATGTCATAAAGCTTAACCCCAACTTCTTTTTTTTTTTTCATATTTGCTTGGCATATGATCGCATCATAAAATTTTATATTTAGACTCCAAATATGCTCTAAATCTTGGAGTCAAGGAAGTGGGCATTAAAATACGATCATAAAACATAAGTTTGATGGGTTTTTAATCGTGTATGAATGGAAACTGTTATGAAATGATTTTTAATTTCGGATATAATACGGCGGATGATTTGAACTTTGATCCAAGGTCACCCAAGGAGATGTTAAAAGAATGTGTTAAATATATCAGCTATTTAGAAGGATTTCCCAAATAAGTTGTCAATTGTATAGCATGTCAAAGATGTTTTTCAAATTGTTTATTTCAGCTAGAGAATTCTAATAGCCCAACAACCTCCGCGAAAGCTGAAACATCCAATGGGTTATATGTTTCTTTTCTTAGAATTCTGATTGGCCTAAAGTATGAAGAAGATCCCTTAGATCACATGCACAGATCTTTGCAACATTAAATTTTGATCGTGTGTCGCAAATTTCGGCAACTTTAGCCCATAAGAATATTGGGCGAAGATCTGCTGAGAGAAATGTGCAATCATATTGGTCTTCAACGGAGTATATAGACCTCGAATGGTCAAGATAAAATGGTTGCGACTTAAATTTTGGAATGTGTATAAAGGCGTTAGGCGATGAGTTTCCCCAGTTGATCTGAAGAAATTTGATTGCACATTTTTAAGATAAATTCGAATTAAGCCTTGAACAGGCACGAAACTAAATCAGTTTATCAGTCAGGCTCCCCAAGCGAGTCACTCGAAATAGCCGTCAGAATTGTCCAGTCATTTGAATTATAATACAACCTTTTTGACATTAATAACTCAATATACCTTGGCACAATAATACACATACATCTATGTATTTAAACACTGTAACACGCGTTAAAAGCGAATTAAGAAAAGATAAGGAACGCAAACAAAAACAGGAACAAGATGCTTAAATTATGCGATAGGAAGAGCAAGAGTGGGTTGCTTGTTAATCGACTGCAGTTGCATACGAGCAGAGCAAAGGGCAAAAGTGCAAAAGGGCACAAAAAAAAGACGACAAACGAGAGGAACGTAAGAGAAACTTACCAACAACAACTACTCGATGCGATTGAAAGATAAGCCCAAGCACGCACAAATTTGCGAATTCACAAATTAATAAACTTAACTGTCAGACGAAACACGAATTGCACTCGCGACAAAACACCTGTTCGCGGTTCAAAAACTGATTTATTTGAATTTTAAATATTAATTTAGCATTAAACGACGAATGCGAAGCGCAACAAAAAACACGCCTGTTCGCTTCGAAATGCCTTACTCTTCTTTTACTGCATATATGTAGGCATGTACATACATATATATGTATGCATGCATGTATGTAAGTGTTTCTATGTGCAAATGTAGATGTGAAATAAGCTTTGCATATGTATGTATATATGCATGCCTATGTGTATGTATGTATGTAAGCATGCTTTTTTGCATTATGAAGGTATGTATGTTTGCATGTTTGTATATTTCAACGTAATGAGGCGAGCATACAAACATGTATGTACGCATATATGTATGTGTGTATATTGTGATGTTTTGGATAAGTACATACATATTTACATACGTACATAAGTATGTTATTTCATATAATATACTCTGGGCTTTTAAATAACTTTGGGAATAGTATCGGAGATAACAGCAGATACACCTGGAGATCAACTGGATGCCGTCTCTAATAATGGCTTACATGAGCTGACTCAATGGATCAAAGAAGAGAGTCCTGCGCGCCCAATTTGCGCCGACTGAGAGTTTCGCTTGGGGCAGAGTAGGGGGCGCGACATGTACATATGCATGTACATATGTATGTTGTATGTAAATGGTTCTCAGGGCAATCGGGCGTGTAAGAGCCTTGATTTTGGTTGGTGTAGTCAAAAGCAGCTGTTTTCTGGCGAATAATAACGGGGAAATATTCCATATCGAAATTTGTAGCGCCTTTTATCGTTGGCAACTTTGAAAAGTTAGTCACTTGGCTGGCACAGTGGCACGCCCACCAATTTTAACGCCCACTGTGCCGGTGCTTTCACGTAATTTTTCATAAACATAAAAGTTGCCGCTACGTGTAGCTGCCGGCGTTGGGTGGTGCTACAGTGGGTGGTTCTGGATGGTGCTGGGTGGTCGCTTATGGGTTTTGCATGTGGCAGGAGAAACCACAGACTGTGGCCCCCTGCATATTGTATTTGTATTTTGTGATTTTAATGCGGCATTTTGTGGCAAGCAGTGTGTGGGAGTATCTTTACCTCTCTCTCTCTCTCTCTCTCACTCACACTCTTCCACCCACTCTCTCTTTCTCTCTCTGTCTGTGTCGCTGTTAGCTCTCGACATTAGCAGGGAACGCAAAAACATTTTATGACATAATTTTGTTGTTGTTTTTGAAAAAGGTGAACGGCTTTTTTCTCTTAAGCCCGCACACACACACACACACACACACAGAGGCAGCATCCACGCAGAGACAATCCACACATATGACTACTGCGAACTCTGCCATCAATGACCCAGCAGCAACAGTAGCCGCCCGCCCCCGCGAACGCCTCCAATTTGCATACTCGCACTAACAAGGTAAGAGCCCCGACTCGGGGCTGGCGCCTTTCGGCTCATATGGCGCATTGTGCGTTCCACAGTGAATTGTAATTACAGCAATGTATGTAACCTAATGATACGCCCCGTGCGCCCATGCCATTGAAACGAAGCAACATGTTCCCATTCCATGTGGCACACGCTTCGCCCTCCACGCTCCCATTTCCCCATTTGCCCCTTATGAGTAAGTGGCAAATGTTGTAGAAGAAAGCACGAAAAACAAAAGACTAGCAAAAGGTGGGCGGAGGCCGCGGGGGCGGTTGCCGAGCTGTAGCATTGTCATCTTTGGGCGTGACGACGAATTCATGCTCTAAGATTAAAACACTTATCTTATGTAAACTAAACTTTTTCTCTTAATAAATTTGTATCAATAATTCAATATTAATATCAATAATTTATTGGCCCATTTTCATATTTATTTATTTACGTTCATTTATTATGTTATTTAATTATTTATTTTTTTTTTTTTAAATTATATCTTTTTTGAAAGTTAATTTTTTATTTGTAAATAATATTAAAAAATAAAAAAAAAACTTTTTCAATTGTTTTTAATATTTATATTTTAGTCGGAAATCATATAAAAACCAAAGAATTCACAGTAGGCTATAGTTTCACGAGTTCAAAGTTAAATGATAGATTTAAGATTTTTTTTTTTTTACATTTAATACTGAGATTTTAATAAATACAATCAAAAATAACATACCTCTTCGGTGGTTCCTTTCAGAGCACTATTCCAAAATAATTCCGACTGAATGAACCTGTAAAAAACGAATCAGTAGAAATATTACTATATGAATTTGTTGTGAATAATTTAACTGGTATGGAGCTCTAAATTCAGAAAGTAAAAACACGTGAATGCCTGTCGCAATAGGCGACTAGTTCACAAAGCGTTGCCCAAGCGGATGGGCGTGCCAAGAAAGCCGCTTGAACTAGTTAGTTAATATCTGGAAATAATTAAATGAAACTCAAGAAGATGCTTGATAATTAAAAAACCCGAAATTAGTTTAGATGGGCGCTCATCTTGTTAATAAGGACTATGACTGGCATTAATAAACGCATCATTATATGCGTGCACGCACACACACACACACACACACGCACACACACTCATTAAAAGCTCGAAGTGCGTATAGACGCGTGTGTGTGTGTGTGTGTGTTTGTGTGTGCATGCGTGTGTTTATTTGTGTTATTGCGCGTGGGCGTGAAAAACGCCTCTCAGTCGCGCCAATTCCAGGTGTAATATTTCAGTGTATGTGTGTGTGCGTGTGTGTGAGTGCGGCTCTGGTGTGTGTGCAAATTTATATTTGTGCTTAGCTTAGTGGCTGGTAGGCAACAACAACAAGTTGAGGCAGCAGCGGCAGCAGCCAGGCAAGTTGGCAACTGATGCCGCTTGGCTGCTGCAATAAATAGCTGAGTCGAGTTATGGCTGATGCCACCATGAAAGCGGCCGCCTGGCGTGGCACGAGGCAGGCGGCAGGAGAGGCAGCTGTGGCATAAGCACAGCCAGTGGGTGTATTATCTTTGGAATTTATTACCAACAAATGTTATTTCTAGAACGTTAGACACACTTGCAGCCGGAGTCGGAGTCGGAGTCGGCAGGCGCCGGCAACTCATCAACGCCTTCATTAGGCGCCAAGTGGCTTAAAGTGAGAGAGCGAGCGAGAGAGAGAGCGAGAGTGAGAGAGAGAAAGACAGTAAGAGCCGTGCATATAACACAATACCCAACTAGCCCCACTCGTCCCCAAGCAAACACCAAAAACTCAGCGCAGAAAAACATCATTAAATTTACGAGACTTGTGCTGGAGCACAAAACAAAACCAGCTGACTCTCAAGGAGCTGCTCGATAACAGCCCACGAACAGGACACCAACAGATGTTAGAGGCCAACGGGATTAGATGTTACTTTAGGCACGTAACCAAACAGACAAAACCAACCACATCGTGAAGCCACAACTGGGATAGATATATGTATATATATATATAGTAGACAAAGTTTATAATGCAATTTAAGCAACTGCACAACTTCTAATTGCCGATTATCATAATTCAGTTACAAAATATTTAATGCATTAAGATAATCAACTCCAATGTCATTAGTTGTATAAACGTATAGTGTAGGCAAGTTTTGTTAGACGAGCCGTTTAAGCGGCACAATCTTGTAAAAAGATACTGGTGCAAATACTTGCATTCACTTGACAAAATCTCTAAATAAGTGACCAGCAACAAAAGCCAAATCGTTGGAGAGAAGATGCTGGTTCAAAACCTTGCATTATGTTGACAAAGCCATTAGTTGGTCAGTAGTATTTATCTATCTATTGCAAAAAACATTACAATATGAGAAAATATTTACAGTGAATATAATAATAAAAATAAAAACAATAGTAATTATAATAATAATAAAAATAAAAATAATAATAATAATAGTTATATCGATAATAATTATTGAAATATGATCAACATTAAAAACCGAATCGTTGTAGAGAAGATGCTGGCTCAAATTCTGGCAATATTTTGATAAATTCTATCTATGCAGTTCTATTTATCCCATATTATTAATAATAATAATTTAATAATAAAAATATTTAAATAACCTAAACATACTATTAAAATTGTTAATAATTATAAATAGTTTTTTTCACAAACTAGTTTCTCTCTCTCATAGTTGCATTCGCTCTGTGTTGCACATGTATCACGAGGCAAAGGTACTTATTCCACTAAAGGTAAACTTCTCAAGACTAAAATTGGGCACAACAATTTACCAATGGATATACTGTCAAAACGACCTAACTAGAAACTCGAATGAAAGCTCTCAGTCGGACTGGTTCGCTAGTCTCGTAAATAATATATATTTTATATAAATAAAACTATATTAAAAATTTGCTTACTCAAAAAACAAAACGTATATTTTGTAGAATTACCATAGCAAAACACTAAGTAGGAAAGTCCAAAGATGTCGTCAGGTAAGTGTAGTTATTCGACAAACGAAAGGCAACTATGCTGGTTCGAATCCTAGTGTGTGGTTAGAGAAGAGCATTAGATGATTTGTGAAATTTGTAATTCCTTATTTTATGCCTCTAATAATATTCCGACGAAATAAGCAGATGATACAGATGAAGACGAATTGACCCATGCAAACACTGGTAATGAAACGGCTAGATCTTTGCCGGGCATAGCTAAACGCCCAGCCGCCTACTCAACCCTAAAGACGCTCAAGGAGAAAAGAGAAAAGAAATATAGAAAAAAAGTGAATAACCAACGATAAGCCCCAATCTAAAAAATGTCTGTTTAAAGCAATTTTAACCTAGGATAAGCAGGAAAAAGCATTAAAGGTCACCGTAGCGACGCAGACCGAAAAATATATGGAAATAATATGGCTGGAGGAGTTAATAACCAATTCGAGCAGGGAGAAGAATGCATTGAATCCCAAATGTGAATACGATAGCTTTGTGTCCGAGCAGCTGTCATCGATATTGTTTTCCCTATCGGTTGCATGTGGATTTCTGATCGACTTCGACGCATTGCTGGGCATTGTCGAGTTCTTCAATCTGAGAATGTAATACCAAAATTTTAGTTATAATTCATGTTTTTTTTTTTATTTAGTTCGGATTTTTGTGAGTTTAAAACGCGCGAGTGCGGCAGCAAGATACATATTCCATTTTAATGGCCCGACCCATAAAGTTCAACTCATTTGATTTCAGGTCAATTGTCTTGCAAAATGATCAAAATAAAAATAAAACGCAAGTAAATGAATTGAAATGCAAATAAAGTTTTATTAACTTGCTGCCGAACTGTGGTTAAAGTCAGCCCGAGTTTCCCGGATAACAGTTCTCAGACCTTGCCACGCTGCAGAAGGAGCCCCTCATTCACTCCGCACTCCACTCCAGAGGGGCGAGCAGGCGGTGGGTGGGTTGTGCGTTTAGGGTGCGTTAAATGTTAACACGAAACACGAAGCGAAGCGCAAAGTTTCGTGGCCAACGGAAAGCCATTAAGGCGAAGGCGTCATAAAAAATGTTTAATTCATTTAATGAATTTTTATTAAGACAACTGTAACCAAAATAACTGAGCAGATAAAAACAAATATGTGTGTGCATAAATTCATAAAAAGTTAAAGCCAACTCACGTTCGATGAGTCGCCATAAGCATACATAATGCGGCAGCATTCGGTCAGACCGGTTAAATATGTGCCAATGCAATAAAAGATCGCTAAACGATTGCTTTCAACATTATCGATATTTTTATGTACATTGTATCAAGTTTAAAGCTCATAATATAAATCTTATATGAATATACTTACGCAATAAAAAGCGAACAAAGTGATTTTATGACTGCGAATGATTTAAAAACCCCCAACTATAAAACCGCTGTTATCGATATCGACCGTGGAAACAATCGATAGTGCCTACCAATGTCAGGAGAATTTTCAATGCAACCTAGTATCGCTTTTTATAAAAATCATTAAAGTGGAAACAGTGGAAACTGAACTATCCGAATTAGTGCTATCGTCCATGGGAACTATCGATATTTTCTATCAATATCAAGAAAATTAATAATAAAATTTGCTTTTGCTTTTGCAAGCTATCTATAAAATCGACCGCGAAAGCTTTACTTTCGTTAAATATCGACCGTCAAAACTATCGATACATCCTATCAATATCGATAACATCGAAAATAACATAGAAACTATTATGAACACCCATAAAAACTTTTGAAATGATCGATAATTCCCTACAATCTAAAAAGTATTATGAATATTCTTTACCTTTCACTCTTACGACTTATCGATAATATCGATAGTGACAAATATGATTTATAAAGCCTTTAAATGTTGTCAATTCGGTAAATTTTGGAGTACAACGAATAAATGACTTATATTTGCTAACTATCGTCAACTATCGTGTGGAGTCGTTTCGTAACGCTTGTCTAGAGATGCCAAATATATCCTCTTACGTACAAAGCATTTCGCAAGCACTTAACAGATTCGAGCTCCCGACGTCAACGCTTTTATCGCTTCCACTTAAAAAGTCGCGCCCCTCTCGGTGCTTCTCATTGCCAGCGTTCCCCTCGTTCGTACGAATACTTTAAATAGATTCTTCTTGCCTGGCTACGTGGGGCTGGCATTTGGTTTCATTTGAATTGCAACGCTGCATTGCAGCAGAAATAGCCGCCCCCAACGAGTTTCCGGCCTAAAATGCTGCGGATTGGCACGCGCCGTTTCTCGTTGTTGTTATTATTATTATTTTATTTTTTATTATATCTTACTCTATGGCATTAAATTTATTCATATTTTTTAGTGGCGCATTTACCAGTGGAATTCACTTGAAGTGCAGCTCGCTCAATTTCCTGGAACAATTTGCTGGACGTTGCCCATTAAGGGGGCAGGCGTGGGGTGGGATGTTTATGAAAGAATCTTAGCATGTCCGAACGTCAGGACCTCGGCTTATGGTGACGACTCTCAAGGGCTGGGCCGACAAATATTGACGCCACAATTCAAATGCTTGACAAAAACGCAAAAAAAAAAGGGAAAAAAATTATAAAGAAAAAGCTAAATGTCCAGGCCAAGGCAAATAGTCGCAACGTAAAGTGTGCAACAGTAAAATGAGTGAGCGGAACGGCAAAAAGGAAAAGCAAAGTAGGAAATTATGATATCATCTTTATGACGCCATTATGGTTTTAGCACGTGTGTGTGCGTGTGTGTGTGTGTGTGTGCGTGCGTCTCACCCTTCAGTCTATATGCTATGACTAACAAGCCCCAGCCATCAGCCCCGCTGCGTCTATAACCCAGGGCTGTCATGGCGAACTGGTGTAAATGTCAAAGACCGGAAAAAGCAACACACACACACACACACACACACACAAACAAACACACACTCATACGCACACACACCAAACTAAAGAGTAATGCAACAGTTTTGAGAGGCAACATGTCAACAACTGTCCTCAGTGTGTCCATGTCAATGTCTATGGGAGTGAAGTTCTGGAATCTGGAATTCATCGTTTAAGCTCCCGCATAAAGTGTGACCAGTGCATTTGACTAGAGCTGGTCATATGTTGCGTTTTTCCAACGTGTCACGACAGGCCACTTGCTATTCGATTCCATGCAAACCTTATCAAAAGCACGCAGAGCATGGGCTTTAAATAGGGAGAAGTATCAGGCATAGCTATCAAGTTAAGATATTGAATTCTTACTCTCACTTTAAGCCAATATTTGCAATTTAATATTGAAATTTTAAGTGCATAAATTTGACAAACAAATATGTACATAACTCAAATCACAAGGCCATAGCCTTAAGAACAACAACTTTCTCATTTCGGGGGAAATTGGGGTAAATATCTAAAAATTGAATTATTCCCAAACTATGTATACAATACAATATGCTTAAGAAATCAATGTCCAGTTTTGATTCCTATCGAAGCAATAGATATACGACAAGATATCGAGGAGAATCTTTGTTTAAAATTGTAAGTCTTTAGCTCTTTTAGTAGCCAAGATCGATGCGTTCATACGTATAGGCAGGGACAGTTAGACAGACAGACGAACAGATTGATGTGGCTAGATCGGCTCGGCTATGTTGATGTTGATCAGGAATATACAACAATATACTACGTATACTATACGAGAGCCTACATACCTAGTTTGATGAATCTCGCTCAGATCCTATCCTAGAACCTAAATTGAATAAAATGCCAATTTAGTTGTGCGTGGACAAATGGACATTGCGTATTAACCGTAAAACTGTTTCGTGCTCGTGCTGGGTCGTGTCTTAAGACACCGGCCCAGCTTCCATCTCTACTATAAATCTGTCCATAGACAAATCACATAGCTCAACATATTTATTATTGGCTTACTACGAACACAGATCAGTTGATATTATGCCAACAGATATTTGTTGAAGCAAACGTTTTGTGGACTCATTTGAGAAACAAAAATTGAACTAAAATTTCGACAATTTCTTGCACTTTTCGCAAATGCTCAAAAGCACATCCAAATTCAATACGATGACAGCGATAACCAGCAACAAATAGAATGTGGTACGAATGTGCCGTCCAGTAAGATAATCGGACCAGATGCAGCAGCAGACACGACTCCGCGGCACCATCGGACGCAGTAAGCCCATCAATTCGTGCATCCAGAGGATTACAATCGAGCTGTCCGTCTGCGTGGACATGTTGACCATTTCAGATTCCAGCTCCAAATTCTCCTCCTAAATGGGGCATTAGGTTTTTAGCTTCCATGCGATTCGGTTGGGCAACGAACTTACGGCTAGCTGCATGCGTCTAGCTTTCTTCTCTTTGTTCTGCTTCAGCAACTGCAGGGATGTGAAACCATGCGGTCGTCTAGCTATGCCCGGCATAGATCTAGTTGTATCCTGCCTGGACGTGCCCACGGTATACGCATCGTTGTCTGCGGGTGAGGCATAAAACAGTTGAAACCCGAGAGAATTCCCGAAATTATGCAACTTTCTCAGAAGTGCTTTAATTCAGATCTACTTTTCCAATCCACCACATATGATATGACAGTTCGGCTAACAAAGAATTTCTTTCCAATTTCATTTTGCGACAGAATATATCAATAGATCCATATAATATAGTGTTACGATACAGATAATGTTTTGTCATAAATGTACGTATAAGTGACATACGAAAAACAAAAAGGTTTTCCAGTGGAACAGACCCTATCGACTGCATCGCTACATCGATTTACGCTTACCCGAGTACATCTCTTGGCTTCTTTAGTCTATGAATATGAATTTATAAAATAAACGCTTTGCTTTTGGTTCAAGGCAATTTTACGGAGTGAACTCTATATGTTAATACTTTTCTATATTTGGCGATTTGTATTCGACTAGAGAAATTGGTCGACTGAGGCTCAATGTAAGTCAAAGTTTGGCAAGTTATTTCCATGGCTTGACAACAATAACGAGCCAACTTGATGTGAAAATAAATGAATATAGGTGAATTTGAATAACATATTGGGAAGCAAACAGCACTGATCGACTAGAAGTATACTCTGTATACAGCGCTAAGTAGCCCATTATATGTTGTAATAATTTCGAAACTTTCTTTTCAAGTTTTCAGTTTTCCCAACTGCCATACAACCCATGGAAAGCTGAAGCGAATACCTAAGAATATGCTAAATGGGGTTTCGAATTCTGCACTTCATATGGTAGTCGCACTCATTCTCAATATTCAGCTCTGGCTAGAGCTGCTGTTTAGCATAGGAATATTTGTGAGGAAATTAAAATTTGATGAATTATTTAAATGGCATCTCATGACATATGCAGGAAAAGCAGAAGTCCAAAGAAAAGCAAAGATTTTCGTTAAAATTGATATGAATAAGCGATTGCGATTAGTTTAATTTTAAATTGTAATAGCTTCTAATGTCCGAAAACGTATTTGTGCTGCACACATCAAGCATAATTAAATCATATGCAGAGTAGTCGCCAGGTTTGAGTGTAGTCACAGCTGGCAACCCTGTCGACGCCATTTGGCTGGGAAATGGCTTAACTGGGGTGCAGGAAAATGGGTTTGCAGCGGTTCGCACACTTAAATGAATCGAAATGAAATTGAAATATGGCAAATGGCAATTGGCATTTGTTGCAAGTTTAAAGTCGACGGCAGTTGCTGCCAATGCGGCGGAGCAAATAAAATAAAATAAAATTAAAGATATTTCGGAAAATGTGAAAGACACCAACTAGGTTGAAATGGAACTGGATCTCAAGAATTTGTCAACTAACAATCTTTTGATTAACATCATATTTTACGCCAAGAATTTGACTGGCATGTTGCCAGTTATACCATAAAGTAGTATAGTATATATGTATATATATAGAGTATTCATCAGTCTACCATATCAAGCCTTGGCTTCCTTAAGCTCATGATAACTACCCAAGTGTTGCTTGCTTTCAGCAGCGGCTATTCTTTAATCATTTGCATATTGTTTTCACAGAAGATCAAGTATAATCTAATTTCGAACCTAACTTGACTCATTTATTCTTTTAACACAGGAAACATTCCTGGTATCGTAGCTCATATGCCTTTGACTTTATCGACATCAATGGCGTGACTTGTGAACTCTCTATTTTGCTCTTAAACTTATTTACTTTTTCACAATCTCAACTACAATATGCATAAGATGCCTGTAAGCATTACTAAAACCTCGTGAAAATCGCATAGAGAGGCGTTATTTAACAGAGACAGCACAAAAGCTGGTCACACTTGAATTTGAACCTATTTTCATTCATTTATTCATATATTATAAAGAGTCCTCCTATCATGACTTCCCCTAACTCAATTCCCCCCCCTATACAAACTCACTATTATTTTCTAACATTTATTTATTAACTCACTACCTCAGCTATAATATGAATAAAAAAGCTGTAAATATAACTTGAGCTGTGTGAAAATCGCATAGAGAGGCGATATTTGATAAAAACAGCAAAAAAGCTGGTCACACTCCCTACATAGACATTTAAGCTGAAGTCTGTGCTTTAAAAACTTTTTTCCGTAATTTCTGCTAACCAAATTTGTAATTCAAATGCTGTAAACTGAGTCACGCCCCTGGCAGCGTCGCGCGTATCTAATTAAACGTGAAAAGCCTTGACCTTTGAACCAAGTTAAAGATAAACAAAAAAGGCAAAAGATAGCAGAAAACAAACAAAGTGGCGCCGCAGCCGCAAAATATTGAAGGGGCGGCAAATCGAAGACAGGAAGTGAAATATTTGCGTTGACAATGCTCACACAATATGTTTTTACATGTGTTCGGGTCTGTTCAACTGTGTGGCACAACATAGCCGTGTGGCAGCCCCTACAGCAAGTTCAGCTCAAGGGTTGACGCTGGGACAAAAGGGTGATGGGCGAGTGAAGGGAGATAGAGAGAGAGAGAGAGAGAGAGATTGTGCCGAGTGGGGATGGGGTTAGGCATCGAGTTGTTGTTTCAAATGGCGTTATTGTTGCTGTAACAATTGTTCGTAAACGCAATTTCATTTGGCCTGCACACAGCGCTGTTGGTAAAACTCATGATGATAATGATGATGATGTGGATGATGATGATTATGTGGCAGACTCCCCCACTTGAATAGCACATATGTAAGAGTACTGTTGCTGGAGTGTGAATCATTTCCGTTTGAATTTGGTTCATTGCATGATTTTCACATTAAACGCGAGTCGTGGCAGCAATGCCAAAGCAGGGAACGAGGTGTTGGCGTGGGCGTGGAGGAGGGGGGTGGAGTAGTTTACTCAGTCAGCTCCTTGGACTGCGAACTCCTGGAGCTGCGCTTGGCTGACTGTCTGCTCGAGCCCTGGTCGCGCTCTTCTGCTTGATTGTGTTTTCCTTAACTTATTTTCAAGCGCAATTATTGACGTGTGCCCCTCCAACAATAATAACAATGACAGCAGCAGCAGCAATAATAGCAAATGATGATGTTGCTGATGATAATGATGATATTGTTGATGTTAAAGTTTTCTGTATTGATATTTTAGCTGTATTTCTTGGCACACTGCGAAAGCAAATGCTTTGCGCTCGAACGGCTTAAACAGCTTTATAATTGGCCTCGCACTGGCGGAAAAGGAAGCGCTCATCAAGTCCCTTAACAACAACATTTCCACACACACACACACACACACACACACACACACACACACACACACACGCACACTCAAACGCAAACGCATGCACACCCTCGCATCTTTATAATAACAGCATTTACTTATTATTCAAGCTGCGAGCAGAACTCGAAACTGAAACTGAAAATGGAATTGGAATCGGAACTGGAACTGGGCCGGGCTCGAAGTCGGCGTCACGGCCAAAGACGCTGCCGGGAACAGGAAGGGGGCAGGGGGATGGGAGCACGGTGACACGGGTGTCTGAATAAAAGTATCAACAACGAAACTCAATTTGAAACAAAAACAACAGCGACAAAAGCGAAATCGCGTTTTATACAAAGCAAAAAACAACAACAACAAAACAAATGGAAATACAAATACAAATCCATATATATATATATATAGATATATATATGCACAAATACACACATAAGTGCCACAACAGGCGCTAAAACATAAATACATACACAGAAAAACAACAGCAGGAACTAAAATATTTAAAATTTTCTATTGAAGCAAACAAAAAAAAAATGAATAAGCCAAAATTTCACTAGAACGAAACTCGAATGCCCTTACATGATAAAATAATCTATTAAAAAATCAAATAAAATAAAATATTATCAAAATTAATTAATCAAAATTAAATAAAATAATAATAATGATGATTCATTAATATAATTATAAATCGAATAACAATAATTATTTCCTGCCTTAAATCAAAATTATATTTCAAAAAATTCCAAATAAAGCAATAATATTTATGCCAAAACCCCCCCAAAAAAAAAATGACTATGATTAACAAAATTTTATTTTCGGCTTAGCGATAAAGCTATATTATATATAGTAACACGATCTTGCTTATTCCATTTAACTGAAGATTTAAAGGTACCCGAAGGGCTTAGATAGTTCAGCATTGTGACACCACATATCTGATATGAAAATCAGCAAGACCCTCGCTAGGGTGTGTAAAAAAATAAAAGAAACTCTTGAAAAAAAAGAGAGAACTGTGAATGAACTGGGGAAATAACTCAAGAAAAAACGGAAGTGCAAAGCGTTTCCGATTAGTTCCCTTATTTTTTTATTCTTTTCTTTTTTTTTTTGGGAAAGAATTCAGAATTGACATTTATTACCGTGGGCTAAGGTGCGCCAAAATGGTTAAACGAACAAATATACCCCAATTGGGCAATCTAATTAAAATTGTATTTGTTTTAATTTGCAGTTACATTTGATTTCCTGCATTTCTCTCTCTCTCTCTCCCCCTCGATCCCGCCAGCCTGCCCGGTCGCCACCTTTGCTTTTCCTGCCATAATGCTTATTATTCTTAACATTTTTAAGTTTCATGCTCTGCGTGAACGTTTTCGTCCCACTGTGCTCTCTGATCTTCAACGGCGCTTGTATCGTTGTCGGCTGTCAACGATGCTCGCAGGCCGCAGCAACGCCAACTAGAAGAAGAACAAGAACAACAACTGCAGTAGCAGCCGAACAACTGTAATCATAACACCGTTAAAGAGGCAGAACATAAACAAAAGCAGCAACAACAACAACGCCAGCGCCGCATCGTAAAATACGCCCAAAAAAAAAAAAAAAAAACAATTAAATGCAGCGTACGCTTAAGAGCAGCAGCTGAACGACATCGAGATACCCTACCTTTTTCTTCTTTCCTTTGAAAGCAATAAATTGCGCTTCAAAAATGTGAATGCAAGACAATAAAAGATGTTATGTTAATTTACAAACTAATATACCCGCTTTTCGTACACACATAAATTTGTAGGACATAAACTCTTGCAGTCAAAAACGTGCGTACCACAATTTTGAAGTGCAGCAATTAGAGCACACGCTAACGATCTCGCCCTCACTACCTACCGCTACCCCTCTCTCTCTCTGTCTCTCTCCCGCTCTCTCTTTGGGCGGATCGGTAGCGCCCACCCAACATTGAAATGAGGCACATTTCACTGGCAGCTTTAGCGCTTCCGCTTGCGACAGCCGCCACGCAACGTTGTCATCAATTGAAGGCCGAACGCCAAACCCTCTCTCAATCGCTCTCTAGCTGTGCTGCATTCTGTCTCCCTCACACACACACACTTGGCTGGCTTATCGCTTCGGCTCATTGGCATTTGAAGTGTCTCGTGTTTCCGTGTCTTCGTGTCTGTCTTCGTATTCGTCTTCGTCTTCGTCTTCGTCAATGCTGCTGCTGCTGCTGCTGCTAAGTAAGTAATCCCAATCCCCTGTGCCCAATCTTTGGCAAAATGCACATAAATTCGTTTTTAGGCGCTGGACCGATCACACACGCACACACACACACACGCACACGGCATACACGTGTGTTGTGTGCCTGCGCCCGTTTCTTGCCATTCTCTTGGTTCCATTCCCATTCATTCAATGCTTCATTGCTGTGGTAATTGCTTCCAAATGCTTAAATGCTTTTATTGTTGCTGCTGTTGTTGTTGTTGTTGCTGCCTCAATTTCAATCTGCGGCAGTTGCCTCGTCTGCCACTCAGTTTCAGTTTCTTTCAAGTTGTTGTTGTTCCATGTCCAACATGTGTCGTCGTCATTGATTTGTCGTTGATGGGCGGCTCTTGTTGCTGCCAACGAAAAGGGAATGGGGAATAGGGAATGCTGGCTAGATTGGGTATAGGCTGCGTATTGGGCATTTGGTAGGTGAGGCGTTGTCGGGGCGGGGGCATGTGGCACGGTCGCTGCAACGACTACACGTCCAAGAAAACTATTGACATTTGTCTGTCACAACGCCGCATCCGCTGCATATGCCGCATATGCCGCATGGCAAGCCATTCATATCGAGTGGTGCATTGACAGAGGAGAGGGAATGCGTGGGGTGGGTGGTTGGGTGTTTGCGACCCTCGTGATTTTTAGGGGGCGTTGCTCGTAAATTTTGTTTGGAGGCCCCTCAAACAATTTGGGCATGAAAACAATTTGCACATGGAAAACTGTGGATAACAGCCGCGCATGAGGGGCAACTTCTAGGTGGCACAGACTGGAGGGCGGGGGGCGGGGGGCGGCAGCTAAGGTAACTGAGATGTGCAGAGCTGGGCCAACTTGCATTCTGGGCCATTCGAAGCGTTTTAATTATGAGGCGGCAACTGTTTGCCGTTGTTATTGTTGTTTTGTTTTCTCTCTTTCTCATTGTTGTTGTTGTTGTTGTTGTTGTTGTTGTTGTTGCTGTTGCTGTTGTTGTTGTTGTCAGCTTGTGCTTTCGTTCTTTGTTCTTCGGCGTTCGCTTCTTTCCTCTTTCTTTTATTGTAATATCTTTGCTCTCAGCACATTGTGCCAATTTTTGCATGCGCATTTTATTCAAATTTTTAACCTCATTCACAATCAGTAAATTTAACAACATTAACAACAACAACAACAACAACAACTACGACAACAACAATCTCAAGTTGCATTGTCAATAGTTCCTCGAACCGATTTGAGGGCGTCTCCATGTGCTGCGTCACCGTTGTGTGAATCAGTCACTCTCTGTTGAGAGAAACTCGCCGCGATCGTGACTGATCACAGGGAGTCACAGCCTAGAGAGATGCCTAACAACTCTATAGTAAATGGATCACTCTGATGAACTCTAGAGTGCACAATAAAGGGGCTTCACTGTGATCACAGTAAGTGCTAACGATCACAGTCAGTCACAGTAAGTACAAACGATCACAGGTTGACACCGTCGTGAGTGAATTCTGGAAAAGCTAGTGTCTAGGGTCTACGATCACAGCATATGATAAACGTGAATCACTGATGGAGTGGTCACAGTAAATGCGAACAATCACGGTTTGTCACAGCCGTGCTTGCTCGCCGTGAACTCGAGAGTGTTATGACAAAAGTGAATCTCTGTTCTAGAATATTTGATAGGCACCCTCATAGTAGATCACAGTCTTAGTATAACAGTTAGTGTGAATAACCAAGGGCAGTCACAGCCCGCAAAGATCCTTGGTAGCTTTCTATGTACTCCAGTTAGTGCGAATGATCACAGCGAGTCACAGCCTTGCCTAGTGTCTATGATCGCCGGGAATCACTGTTTAGAGTGAGCCCAGGATGTCAATGAAATACTGGTGAGAACAAAATACCGTAGGGCGTCACAGCCATGAATGCTCTCCTGGCACTCCCATGTGTGGAATCGTAATGGATCACTGTTTGAGTCTAGGGAAGTGTACCCACAGTCGTTATAAAGTCTTGCAGAGAAAAGCCAGGCGAATAGCAGAATGCTTAAACGCAATGCTGGGTGGGACTGTACCATTAAGAACAAACAGTATATAATATAATAATTAATTTAACGAGGCCTTCAGCTTAATTTTTGTAATTTTCTTTTCTTTATTTAGCACAAGTTTTGTGCTGTGTTCTTTATTTGAGTGCAGTTTTTAACCGTTACTGACGCTGTTAATCCATAGTCAATAAGTTAAGTATTTAACTGGACAGAAGAAGACTTCTTCAAGTGTGACCCTAATGGATTTCAGCTTGCGTCAACTGTTCCCCTCTCGCAGTGCCAGTTGCAAGCAGTTTGTGTGCCAGGCCCCATTCCCATATAACACTTTCACAGCGGGCGATCGACCATCGATGGGCACATCGTATCAGCACCCTTCCCCCGCCGGCACTACGCCTGCTTCTATCTCGTTCTCTCTCGACCAGCTTCTCCGGCACATTGTACAGTGGAGGGAGGGGGGAGTGGGGTAGCTGCTGCCGCCGCCGCTGTTGCTGTCACTTTGGTAGCTTCCGGCTGCTGCATCTGCTGCCCACCAATCAAGAGCGTGTGCGTGGGTGTGTGAAACAGGGGAACTGTGAGGTAGACAGCGGGGCATGGGCTAATTTATGCTTGTATATAATATCACTTAAGCCTGCCCGCGCTGCTGGTTGATATTTATAAAGAGACGCTGTTAGTAGCCAGCGCAGCGCTTATGTTATCCTTAACAGACGCAGCGACTGCAAACAAGCTGCTGTCGGCGTCAGCCAGCCAACGTCGAGCCCGAGCGCCCGAGCGACCGAGTGGCCGAGAGCACGAGAGCACGAGGGCACGAAGAAAACGACCTGGTTTTATAAAAGGAAGCGTCCCGTTCGCTGTTATCGTTCGTTAGTCGCTTCGTTTCGCTTCGTGTTCGCTTTTTAGTACACACTGAGAGCGACAATGCGACAGCGTCGTTGCTGTCTTGTTTCTTCTTTTTTTTTTTTTTTGTTTTGTTATGTTTTTATTTTAGTAACAGCAGCAGCAGCAGCAGCAGCAGCAGCAGCAGCAACGAATGCGCGCACGCGACGCCAATGCTGGGAACAGTTTTCTGCAATGCGCTGCGCGTGCCAACGCCTGTTGCTGTTAACGCTGGCGTCGCTGCTGCTGCCGCTGCCGCTGCCGCTGCCTCTGTCGCTGGCATGCTGAGGCTCGCTCTTGGACGCGGCAGCAAAGCGCGTGAAACATGTTTTAGTACGTGTTCCGCCGTGTTAGCAAACAGTCGTGTCGCCCCAACGAGCCCAACGGACACGCTGTGTCAGTGTGACTGTGACTCCGACTAGCGACTATTTAACATCGTTTGTGGACGCCCGGAAAACTACAGCCGGACGGCCAACAGCAGCAGTAAAACGACAACAGAGCGTCGCGTAGCGTCAACCCCCGCCACTTCCGTCAGTTGGCCACAAATCAACAACAAAATAAAAAAAAAAAAACACGTTAAATACTTGAGAGTAATTATGCAAATCGGCAGATATACATATATATATATGTATATAGACATATGTGGCTAAAACGGTCTCAAAGCAAATCTCGACGCGTTTTTGTTGCCATTTTTTTTGCAAGTGCTGCTTTTTGTTGTCGTAGGTTCAAATAACTAAAGTTGCCACCACCAACAAAAAATAAAAAAAATAAAATAAAATAAATAAAATAAATAAATATATATTAATATTATAAATGCCAGCAGGATTGTATGCAAAGTGAATTTTCTTGCAATTTCAAAGTCAATTTTCGAGCAATTATTTAGCGTGATTAAAGCAAAGAAACATATCTGTTTTTTTTTTTTTATTTGTGTGCGTGTGTGTGCGTGTGCGTGTGTGTGTGCTTGTGCAGCTTCCTGTGCAACCGGTCCGCGGGCTCTGGCCCAGGCGACAAGTAACAAGCTGCCACAAGACGCAGCAGCTCGCGCTGCACCTGCAACACGCAAAAATAATACAACAACAACAACAACAACGAAATCTCAAATAGAAGCAGCCACAAGAAAAAAAATATATATTTAAAAATAAAAGTAAAAAAAAACCGAGCGCAGAAAAACCCGTTTTTTGCGGAAAGCTGCTAAACTCGAACAGGCAACAAAACAAGCCGCAGGCAGGCCCAAGGCCGCAACAACAACAACAACAAGACGACAACGAAGACACACAACAAAAGCCACAACAACAACAACAACAACAACAACAAAAACAACAACAACAACAGCAGCAGCAACAACAACAGAAAATTGTGTCTTGTGCGCGCATTTTTCCTGCTGCAACTTTGCGGCGCTTTTCACGCTGCTGCTGCCCAAATTGTGGACATTTTCTTTATGGTAAGTTATTTATATTTAAGACAGACTTAAGTGGCAGTCCACAGCGAGTGGTGCTTAAGCCGGGGCAGTGCGCTGCAGCGCGGGGCAAGCTTTTAGTTAAGCGCTGCGAGGCGCTCAAAAGTATGCTACACTTTTCTTGTGTGTGTGCTGTGCGCGCGCGTGTGTGTGTGCGTGTGTGTGCGCTTTCTTTTCTGGCTTATCAATTGCAGCTGTCAATTAATACATCAGCTATAGCTAATTTTAAACCTTACCCACACCACCCCCCCCCCCCCCCCCCCCTCCCACACACACACACACACACCCACGCACGTGCATGCAGTTTAATGAAATTATATTTAAGCTGCCCAACAAAGGGTTAAACAGTTCAGCAACAGCTTCCAACTGAAATTATCCTATTAGCCTACTGAGCATTTGTCCAATAGGAATATAAATGTGTATGTATGTGTATGTGTGTGTGTGTGTGTGCGCGTGTGTGTCTGCTTATTTGTGTTTGTGCAATTGATTGTTATGCTCAGCCGATTGGTGTTAATTTCTGCTGCATTCCAATTGAACATGAAGCTGTTGATGCAACTTGATAATCTGATTGGACTCTAATGAGATTAGATGCAGCTGACGTACTCCAAGTGCATTTACCAATTGGCTTGCGCATGCAGCTCGTAGTTCTAATTAGATATGCGCATATTTTTTTTTTTGGGTAATTCGTAAAGCGAAACTTGGAAAATTTTAAAAAACACAAAATAACCTGCCAATTGGACAAGCGTTTCTGGTTGGATTTGTGCGAAAACTTTTAAATGTAAATTTCCTTGTCTAAATCTAAAATTGTTCGATTTTTATGCTGACAATAGCTAAGTTAAATAATTAACAAATACTATAAACAAATTAGTTTAACAAATGATTTTGTGCAGCCTTTTCGCCAATTGGAATTTTGTGTTGAAAATTGAGCCCAAGTCGAAGAAGAAACTTTCTGTTTAGCAAAAAAAATTGAGAGCTTCATTGAAACAATCTGTTTTAATTTCAGCCTTGCCTTAAGATAATTGAAGAATTATGTTAAGTAAACTAGCTTAAGTCAATTCGTATCTTCAGGAGCATTATCTAAGATAAATATCCTGAGATAATTTGCCTATTCAATGAAAATTATTGTAAGAGAATTAACTTGAGTTAAATGCAAAAATTAGTTAAAAATTCTGACTAAAAACAAACAGCTTCTCGTTCTGTTTAGCAAATACCCTACATAAATCCAATTGGCATCAATAGAGCGTTGCATTTGATTTGTTGCTCGTGGCCAAAGTATGTCAGCTTATTTGTGGAGCTGCAAATTTGCACTTTTGGCAAAAAGCAAATAAAAAAAAAAAAACAAACGTGCAGAAACAAAGCTTTCCAAAAATGCGTCGGCTTAGACGAACTTTGTTGCGTTTGGACACATTTTGGCAGCAAGTCTCTCGCCGTGCTGCAAAATCGCATGCTTCAATTTGAGCCCCAATCGAATTGGCCAAACTTTTATATTTTGCATTTTCATTTTTTTTTTTTTTGTTTTTTTTCATTTCTTCCTTTTTTCCTTTTGGCCAATTGCCTATGACAAAGTTGGTTTTGTTAGTGCTGCTGCTGCTCCTGCTCCTGCTGCTGGCTGTGGCTGTTGTTGGCCACTAGAAAGCTTCGCTGCCAATCAAATTTGCGTGTCTTATCCGCCCCCGCACACGCCCGTGCCCTCCGCCCATCTGGCTTTCAAATATGCGCGCACAGAATGTGGCTTAGACCACAACAAAGCAGCGCTGCTCTGGTTTAAAGGGGGGCGCGCTGTGGGCGGGCGCGGCGGCAGCTAGAGCAAAAATAAAAATAAAAAACCCAACTACGAAATATTTTTTTAAGCCGGTTGCGGCAGGGGAGAGGACGACGACTAAAAGCCACTGAAAATGCCTTTCAAGTGCGCTCTCAGCTGGCACACATTTAATAGACAGATTCGCCAGATAAAAATATGCATATATCTATATCTCTCTCTCTCTATATATATATATATATATATATATATATATATATATATATATATATATTTGTGTGTGTGTGTGTGTGTATAGTTATTGCTCCTCTAAATAAACTGAAAAGCATCCAATTGCCTTTGGGCCAAGCTAAAACAAGTAAGAGGTTCTAGTCGGGAGCTCCCGACTAGGGGATACCCTGAACCCTCTTCCTTCAACATCAAATGCATATATATATTCTATTTTAGAAGCTAGCCCTTATTATTTATCAAAATTGCCCAAAAAACAGGATATCGATATCGATTTTTATCGATTGCTTGAAAACGGAGTAAGTTATCGATTATCGGAAACAAACTCGATCTGCGCAGGCACTAGAAGCACCTACATCTAAAATTTCAAGTCTATAGCTCTTATAGGTTCTGAGATCCTTGCGTTCATACATACGGACGGACGGACGGACGGACAGACCGACGGACATGGGTAGATCGACTCGGCTATTGATGCTGATCAAGAATATATATATTTTATGGGGTCGGAGATGCTTCCTTCTGCCTGTTACATACATTTGGATTTCGCACAAATACAATATGCCCTTATACCCATTTTAAATGGGCTCAGGATATGATAAAAATATGAAATACCACACTGACTGGCAGATACCCTATGCCAAATACAAGAGCACATTTCGTCAAATGTTGCAAGTAGTTGTTGCCACAATTGCTTTGGCCACCTCTCTTAGCTCGTTAGCCAGCGAATGTCTCAAACTGTAGGGTATTGCCCGTTTATCACTAGCAATTAATAGAGTATATCGAAATGTAAGAAACTTCCGAGTGCTTTAAAAATGTGCAACATTTGCGCTTCATAAACGCAACACTGCGGAACTGGAATGTGAAACGCGTCGAATGGGCAAATTTGGTGTGGATTGAGGGAACGCGGTGGCAAGCGGAACGTGCACAAACTTTTCTAATCAAATTAACAGAGAATTTTAATCTGTTGCGTCTGTCTGTCAGTTGTTGTTGTTGATTGTTGCTTGTTGTTGCTGCTTGTTGCTTGTTGTTGTTGTTGCTTGTTGTTGTTGTTGTTGGTAGCTGGGCAACAACAACAGCAAGTGCAAATTATCAAAGTCAATTATGTAGCCACATAAACCAAGTGCGCAAAAAGAAGCTAACACACGCACACACACACACACACACACCCGCACACGCACACACACACACGCAGAGGCAGACTAGCAAAGCATAAATAATGCTCATCATTTGTTGCTATATTTGGCCAAGCAGCGCGAATGGCAAAACTTTTGCCATAGCCCCAACGATTTAAAGTGCGCCACACACACACACACACACACACACACACGCACGCATAACACACTCACTCTCACACACACACACACACGCGCACTGACCTTGGAGTCCTTGCGATCTGTCGTTTTCGAGCGCTGAGCAACGGCTCAGCATTTGCCGCTGGCATCATATTTATTTATATAAATACAAACGCAAAAAGTTCCTGCATAAAACTGAATTACCGGAAATTGGCCAAAAAGCAGCAGCAACAACAACAACAACAACAACAACAGCAGCAACAGCAAAACGAAATGCGAACAGCATAAAGTAGGTGGCCAAAAAGTTTTTACCTACTTTTCGCTCGTCTGCCTCTCGCTCTCTCCCACTCCCCCACTCCCGCTTGCAATACACTTGCAGCGGCTAGCACACTTTTGACACGTAATATGTAACGCAATGCAGCGCATGTCTTCGGGTATATAAGAGCACACACACACACACATACATGTGCACATCCATTTTCTTAATCAGAACAAGCTGAGTCTGGCTATGCTAATGAGAAACAAAACTGCATACATACACATGCATACACATACACACACATACAAATATGTATATACATGGTGTTGTATTTCTCCGCCAGGGTATTTAAAGTTTGCCATTGCAAATATAACGGCACTTGTTCCTTTTTTTTTTTGTTTGTTTTTTATTTTTGCTTTTGCTGTTTATTTTTATTATTTTTTATTCGGTATTCGGGCGTAAATAGAAAAAACACACAAAACTAAAGGCGCTGCGTGTGAAGCAAATAAAAGGCAAGAAACTAGCCGAGAAAAAAAACTTTTGTCAAAGCGGCCAGCCAAGCAGACGGCAGCCGAGCGACTGAGACAGACAGACAGAGAGACAGGCAGACAGACAGACAGCGTGAGCGCGAGTGAGCACAGCATAAAAATAGAAGAAGAAACGGAATGGCGAAGATGGCCTGGCACAACAATGCAATGCTAACTAACGGCGCGAGCCTGAGCAAAAGGCGCATTAAAGCAGCGACAAAGAGCTAAACGAGTGAGCCTGACATTGCGTCGTACAGCGACAGAGGGAGAGAGCAACAGAGAGCGAGAGAGAGCGTGCACGAGCGCCTAACAAAAGGGAGTTGAAAAAGAGAACCGAAAAAGAGTACGCCAGGCAGGCTGGCAGTTGATTGTAAAGGCAGCTCCACTTTTGATGCCTTACGCCCTACCAAACCCCACCGCCCCGCTGCACACTCCACAAACCGACCGAAAAAAAGGTAGCATTGCTACAGTCGAGGGCAGCCTCACAGGCAAACGGCTAGCGACAAGACTGTGAGAGTGGGGGGAGGGGTTGCCAAGTTGGTTCGTGGGTTGTCTTACATAAAATTTCAATTTCTTAAATTTGGTCAAAATGTACGTCTTAACATTTCAATAGAACACAGTTTGCCACTGAGAGCACAAGCTAAACAACATAAATGTTTTGTTATGCCTGCAAAATATGCATAAATATTTGAGCGCAAATAAACAAAACGGCAGACAGACCTGAAGATACCACGCATTTTAATTATTTATTTTGGCAATAAATTTAGAAATAATATACTAACAACAAGCATAACATATTTAATATCAAATATTTAGTATGTTTCTTAGTCTTTCTTTTCTTAAAAGAAATATAGGCTAGGTAAGGTTATGTTAAGTTAGGTTAGGTTAGGTTAGGTTATTTAAGGTTAGGTTCGATGAGG